AAGGACTAGACTAGAGGCATGTTTGACAGAACGTGGTAATAGACAGGTGCTGTACACAAACCAAAAGGAACCATCTTAAAGATTGCAATTCAAGGTCTCCCGAACCCAGCTCTTCAAGCCATGACCACATAGCTGCTGGGTCTAAGGCCATAGCCTTCGCGTGATCTTGTAAGGCTTTTCATTGCTGTACCACAGCTCGTCAGAGAGAACACGGTCAATGTCAACGATCGAAGCTAAGCACGCGTTACGGCCGAACGCAGTCTTGATACCCCAGTCGTTAACATATGTAACGTTCGATAAAGTGATAAAGTGATTGTGCTGGAGACATGCAATACAAGAAATCCGATGTTCGCGTTCGTTGGTAGTCTTTGAGCGCAAAGGCGATGACGACACGCGGTAGTAGCGCGATTGGCAAACGGCGCTAGGTAGAATGTGGCTGTTGCGGGTGCGATCTGGCTCCTGTAGCAGTCTTTGAGCATCACACACCTTCCTGTCCTGACGTTATTCAGCTACTACCCATACTACACCCAAAATTTTTACTGCTACTTAGAACCGATCAACTCTAATCACCCTCGTGTACTGCAGAGGAACTTGATGCTTGGGAAATGGCGGACGGGTTGCTTACGCGCAAAGATCCAGCCTTGCACAGCCCCACCCAGCGGATGAGCGTGATGTGTAGACAATCTTTCATTCTCTTCAACTCTTGTTCTCGAACTTCACATGAAGTCATCTAGTAGCTCCTGACGGTATCTATACTTTCTTATCTCTTCGGCATATCGCTCAATCATGACGGATCACGACCGGCATGGCTCCGTTGTCATACCCCGGCCGGAACGCGAATTGAAGCCGTTCGTCTACGCTCCCCTCGACCACCTGCAAGCTTCACTTCGATTGATTCGCGTCTCTGAGATGGAATCACCCGAAGGCTACATCCAGTGCGAGGTTCGTCATGCAACGATCAACACCCCCTACATATGTCTTTCGTATGTCTGGGGCGATGAAGAACAAAGACATACTATCATCCTTGACAAAAAAACCTTTCGCATCCGGAGCAACCTTCATAGCTTCTTGATGACGGCAAGGCGAAAACGAAGGCTGTTGGAAAATTGGCTGTGGATCGATGCACTGTCGATCGACCAGACGAACGTTGAGGAGCGTAATCATCAAGTACAGCGAATGGGCCTTATCTTCTCTCGGGCCGAAGAAGTGCTATCATGGCTTGGAGATAGTCCTAACATTGCTGCATATCTACACAGGGCTGAGGATGCCTATATTCAAGGCGAAGGCTTTGATTCAGAATATCTTTACTCAGGAACCATCGAATATCATCAAAAAGTCGAGTTCCATCAATCTGAATATTGGAGGCGGGCTTAGATCACACAAGAAGTGGCGCTAGCACGTCAGGTCACAATATGCGCCAACCTTGCGGAGATGACTTTCGAGCGTTTTCCAACTACATATTACGACAGCCTACCGCCGGATCACGATTTGAGATCTGCACAAGGTATAGGGTTCAAAGGTCGAAGTCTTATCCACTTGATCAATTGGTTCAAGTCCAAGCACTCACACGAACGGCGAGACTGCATTTATTCCCTGCTCGCTCTATGTGGTGAGGGCTTCAATCTCCAGGTCGACTACAACAGCTCAGAGGTGAAACTAGCAGAAAAAACACTAGCGTGCTGCAAGCAGTCATTTTGCTTGTGTTCTATCAAGGTTGTTGGGTATGCGCTGGATATCGAAGAACACCGTTCCTGGGATTGTGTGGACCAAACCTTGGATCTATCCTCCGAAGCTTTCGCATATATGACCCTGCCTATCGTTCGAAGCGCTCCTCTTTCGTGGACACACTATGATGACCCAGACGACTATCAAACTTCTCGGGCAAATCTATGCGTCCGACACGCTGGTAGCGCTTGCTATCAACTTTCACGCGAGGAAGAAATGTGTGTCTTTCTTGACCCCAAAGGTGATGCTCTAGTCGTTATTTTCCCCAAACAGATTTGTCCATCCTCAGGTGCTGTACTTCTTGAGATTAGGACGAACATGAAATCCTCTCATTCCGTGCTGATTGCATGCGATTTGAATGGACGGAAAGTGAAGAGACGTCTGGTGAATGGTATCACTATCAGGCTTTTGGGCGATATTTGTCAGGTCTTTTTCTCATTTCAACTCTTGCTTATCTTTAATGAGGCATTAGACATTCCTAGACCATGCGATCGTGTCGTCTTACAGGGGACTAGAAGGGCAAAATATCTTAGTGAGCCTTTGCTGAGCCTCTGCTCTTAGGAAGACTGCTCGTCGGACATGCTCCGTTGTTTCAAAGTTCAAAGACAGTCAGCATCAGATCAGATGGATGCCAATAATTATCCAACCATTCTATACCACGAATCCTTCCTTTCGGATGTATAACTACACCAGAGGATTGGTCTCATATTGCTGTTCTCTTTCTTGTCATATAAGTATATATATCATCCCTTTCCAACAGGCTCTTACACGCATAGGCTCTCGGAAGTTCAACGTTTTTTCATCGGCTCATACAAGCCGTCCAGAAAAGGAAGAGAGCTATGTGGTACACATTGCACGCATGTTTCCTCATTAGTGATCCTGCGGTAGAGTAGTGGAAACGCATAGTATGAAGATTGACATGACACGGATATAAATTGCTGTATATCGCTATAACTCTTCTGGTTGCCTTTGTACAACAATGCAATACTGTGCGACCATTCAATCTCGGTGATCACCACGGCAGAGTGGTTCCATCCCAGTTCTGGAAAGTCCCAGAAAGGTTCCTATCGGCCTTATCCAGCGTGCTCAAAACACCGTTCACGCTCTGCTCAACAGTAATAGCGCCAGCAGCCTTAAGCGCCTCGGGATCAGCCATAGCGCTACCCATATCCGTCATGACCAAGCCAGGGTGGGTGACATACGATGTCAACCAAGACTCTTCGAAATGGATCCTAGCGAAAGCCCAGTTCAACGCCGCCTTACTAGCACCGTATGGGCTGAAAACCTGCGGGAATCCAGCGAGCATTGCTTGAGCGCCCATGCTGCCAATTACAGTGGAAATTCCGAGGTAGATGGGGTTGCCAGACTTGCTGGCTTGTAGCAGGGGCTTGACGGCCTGGAAGAGAAGGATGGGGCCGATGGTGTTGACGGCAAAGTGATCGCGGAGCGCGTCAGATGAGGTGTTGATGATGGTAGTACCTGAGTGTGCGATTCCGGCATTGGCGATCACAACGTCGAGCGAGGTGATACCATGCTTGGATTGAAGTTCGGCGACAGCGTTCTTGGGGTCCGCTTCGTCAGAGGAGTCGATCTTGACGACGATGAGCTTGGAGCCTGAAGCTTTGGGAAGGGATTCGAGTGCGGAAGTTGACTTGGCGACGTCTCGGACTCCAGCAATGACGGTGGTGTTGGGACGTTGGAGGAGGGTTGAGGTGAAACCTTTGCCAATGCCACGGTTAGCACCGGTGATGAGATATGTGAGGGGCGAAGACATGGTCGCTTTGAGAATATGGTGATTGATATTGGATTTGGGGGCTGGTGTTGAGATTGGAGGTTTGGATAGTTGGTTTCTGGCTTTAATCGCACACAGTTCCTTCCCTTTATATACGAAGTATCGAGCTCGCACAGAAGATGCGAACACCGAGGCCGAGCATGATTTCTCATCTAGATACTATAGCTGGAACTTATCAGAAAGTGACTAATGTTCGTGGTTGCATCCCGGTGGGCAAAGAGACTGCCCGTCCGCTTGTAAGGTGCTCAGTCATTGTTTGGTAAGATACGTATGCCCCTTGCCTAGATCAAGCATGCGGCGCGAGTGATTAGTGAACCTAGAGATACCACCCTCTGCGCAGTCTTTTAGACTATTTCCTACCTTTTGTGAGCATCATGTCACATATACAGATGACAAGAGAAATATCTCTACGAAACGTGTTGACTTTACGCTCGATCATGACCTCTTTGTGGTCGTTGGTGTTCGTAATAAACGAGCTAGCGAACCTCTTACGGCCGAAGGTTGATGTTTAGTGAACACCATACTAGCCGCGCTAGCTTATAACCTTCACCCAATGACAAATATAGGCCATGACTGGGCCTCCTCGTCGTTGGAATTGACGCTACGCTCTCTTGATCGCCGTGCTGGCATGCTTATTCTAGTCCACTCTCTTGTTCTTCAACGTGTCTTTGGTGGGAAACATTCTTTTCTCTTCTAAGACTGGCGAGACAAAGAACCTTAGCATAACGTCCGGATCATTTCTATCGCTCTTGGCTAAATTTCACCACGCCCAATTTTGCTCCTGTACACTCTAGAGCCACATATACGTCTCATTCGTCACTCGTTCTCTCTATGCATGATTTCCGGTTTTGTCGAGTTGATTATGATGACTGAGAAGTCGCAACATGGTCCTGTGTCCGTATGCTACAAGCTGAGGATTTTGTGCTTGTAGAATCAGTCGGCCAGGTCACGCGTTCCGCCAATCGATCGAATTGGTGATTCAGATATCGTCGACGAAAGTGTTGGTCTATCATGGAACCCATTGCAAGAGTACTGATGTGCTTGCTTCGCCTTTGGAAAGCACATGATCAGCAAAATCAAGAAACTTTTCGTAAATAACGAGATGCAGTGATGGAGTTCCTTGAGCTTTCGAATTTTCGGGGGAATCACGAAGACAATCATCCGGTGGCTAGGGTGTAGCGTGATGTGTCTACGAGGCATTTACCCGTTGGGCCGTAGCTCGGAGGTAATCTGAAGGCCGTTGTCCTGATACTGATTAGTAGACATCGTTGAATGTGTCCCTGTAACATGTGGTTTGTAAGGTCCACGATCTTGAGCTTGCAAGAGAGTTCGACTCCATCCTAGCTCTCGCCAACTTCCTCCCCCTTAACCTCTTCTGCCAGAAAGTACTCTAATTCCATATCATGTCCATCATTGTTGCTTCAGACTAGAATTCAAGGGGCAGGTATAGCGAGGATGCTTCGAGCCTGCAATGCAGATTGTCTTAGTCCATAATGCTGTCTTCGGCAGGATGATACAGGCGTGTAGACTCTACACTCGCAATCTCTAACACAGTCAGCAAAGATTCAGGTCCAGCAACCGGATTGGATCCGCCTTCCGCGAATTTGATCATCGACAAGAAATGTCGTGCGCTATCGTTCTTGGCGTTGACTTTCTCTAGATCAAACACATTGAACTTCGTTTGTCGTTTAAGTAAAAGTGTCCATTCGTTCTCAGACCAGTAAGCGCCTATGTGTTTGTAAAAGTTGATGTTACCGTCATTGTGGGAAGTGAGGATACTTGAGTCAGTCGTAGCCGCGAAGCGACTGATGATTCTTGCGACTGCGCTTACAAGGCGGCGTCTCGAACATATGCAAGACATGGTAATGTAGTACTCCGCCATTGATGGTGGTTGCTGATGGAGGTGACACAACAAGCTTAGCGAGAGACGTGAGCCCTCAGGTCCTTGTTGGCTTACCTCATGAGTATATGATTCACCTTCCAACTATGTCTTGTGTGACGTGTTTCCATGATGACAGTCGCGAGGCTGCCAATAACAAAAAATCGAATTATCAAAGTCTATAACATTCCACGTAGATTGACAACTCGTTGCTGTCATGAACTCCGTGAACACCATGCTTGCCCAGATTGTATATAGCTCATATCGACATAAACCTCAAGATCCTCGTATCGTTCTATTCGTCGTCAAGTATAGAGCTCGCTAGCGGGCCAAAGAAAGGAACTTCGTATCGGTCAAGTGTCGCAGCTGTTCAGTCGTTAGCAAGTAGGTCTGTCTGTGAATTATGATATGAACTCGCCATCCAGATAGGCCCTCCAAGTCAACCACCCTATGCCTGCCAAATCTCCGATGAACAGGACCCAGGATATGAAACTCGACCAGCTGAATATGATGTGCACCACAAAGATGAAGGCGAATAGCAGACTGCTCTGCCATGCGTGGAACCGCACATAGTCACTTTGGTGCTCCAAGACCAGTAGCAAAACCCCACCTGCTGGTGGAAGCAGGAGATATGCCAGGCAAGCCTCGTAGTCCAATCTCCAGCCCAGAGACGTAGTGAACATGTCTACATCCTCGCGGGAGCGACCGAAGCCTGTGCTGCGAGACGGCTGGTCCCACGCTATGCGCTCGGTATCTGGTTCTGCGGGCGGGGAGACAGGTGACTGGCCCTGGAAGTAGTCATGTTGCTCGTATGCGCGTGTCGGAGGCGATATGATGTTGCGTGTGCGGTCAGTGGATGTCCTCGGCGAATGGACTGGCGGTGGGGAGAGCGCGCGTGACGATTCCGGTATGTCTTGATACGGGGCGAAATTGGCTGCCATTATGGTTTCGGTCGTTGATAGGTGCCGTATACAATACACCGGGAGCTTGCCGGTCTGTTTTCTGGGGTATTAAAGGTTTGGTGGAGGAAATAGGGCTGACACAGAGGAAGGTGCAACCGGGGCTGTGACGTTGGGCAGGGATCCTAGCTCGACGTCGGGGCCGGGGTCCCGTTAGCACGTGAGACATCGTTTTCGGACACCTCCGTCATGTCACTCCGCTGCAGGAACAGTCATGTCGTGCGACGTGTCTAGAGAATGAGGGCTCACACAGCTCTCTGGAATGTCGCGATCTAGAGATTGCGCAGTGCATGCGCGTCGAAACAGTGATGAGTAGAGCAGACACTGCTTTCCCCGTTGTTGACCCGAGGTCGTACCTTCCTACATCACAGGGACATCAGAACGCCTCGGTCGCAACCTTCATCTCGCCATGTGTCGTCCCACCTCACTCCACGTCCTGTACGGTTGGAACCACGTATATGACTGAGCGTTGAAGCACCTGTTGGCACTCATTCACACCGCTCATACTGCACTTCGGTAAATAATCTGCTTGGTCCGTCATTTTCCGAGTTATTGAACGCCACAAAACAGTACTTCCCAGTATCTTCTTTCCCTCACATAGAATTGTCTACGACGTGGTCACAACAACATCAAAATGTGTATCGCTATTCTCACCACGGCCCATCCGGACTATCCATTCATATTGCTCAACAATCGAGACGTACGTATTGTGGTCCACAATCATTATATCCTACAACTAACGCATACCAGGAGTACCTACATCGTCCAACAGCAGAGGCAACATGGTGGCCATCTCCAGACACTCAAGTCTTGGGCGGCTATGACCTTCACCGTCCCGTTCATGGCACCTGGCTGGGTGTGACCCGTCAAGGTCGAATTGCAGTGTTGACCAACTACCGTGAAGAGGACGAAAAGATCGTGGAAGGCGCGCGAAGTAGAGGGCTCATTCCAAACGCTTGGTTAAAATCTGACCCGGCGAAGGGGGAGAGTACAGAACAGTTTGCAAAACGAATGATAGAAGAAGATGGTGTCGAGGGTGTTGGAGGGTTCTCTCTGTGCTACGGATTCATTCAAGATGTTGTCAAAGAAGGAGAAAAGGGTCTTGCAATCGTGAGCAACCGAACTCCAGACGTTCATGGCGTGATTCATCTCCTGCAAAAGCCAGATGAAACCCGGGCTCTCAGCAATGCCGCCTACAACGACCGCACCTGGCCCAAAGTGATCAATGGAGAAGACTGGACGCGCGCTGCTATCGCTAAGTCTGTCGCTGCCAACGAGTCCCAGGATCAGCTCATCAACCGTCTTCTCGATATTCTGACCACGGACACCATGCCCCGACAGAAAGAGAATGAAGAGTGGGACATGTACCTCAACCAACTGCGTTACAGCATATTTGTTCCAGCAATTGGAAGAGATCATCTTGAAGAGCACAAGATGCCTGCGCATGAGGTGGGCGATGTGGTCAAAGCGAAAGCACTGGATGCTACAAGTGGGTGCTACGGTACCCAGAAAAACATTGTAGTGTTGTGCGATCGAGAAGGGAAGGTGACGTATTTTGAGAGGACCTTGTATGATGGTGACGCGAAACCGATTGAAAAAGGAAAAGGGGACAGGAAATTTGACTTCAAGATCGAAGGGTGGTAAGAGGATGAGCGTTTGCATACTGCTTACGACAGAGGCCTTTGCCGCAATATCTTTCGTCTTGTTCTCATGGTTGTATGCTCTCAATATTCGTCGGTATCAACCATATCGTATGCTTTGTACCAGAAATCAGAACTTGCCAGTCACGTGAGCTACGGTTAGTCAAAGATTGCGTTGCATGTTGTGATCTAGGATGAGTTTCTGCTTGTAGCTCTGGTAATCCTTACGTACGCTAAATTCAGATCGAACACATAACTGTAGACACTTCTAGGAGGCTACTACCTAGGTAGTTTATGCTACACCTGTGTTGTGTAGTCTCTACACCCATTATAGTGTCTAATGATACTCAAGATGCTAATAGTGATTGTACAATCTTTATTGTCTATTACAAGTCCTGCTTATCTACTAGAGGCACCAAGCCTTCTAACGATTGTTACCTAGGTAAGCTCGGGCTGCAGCCCAGACGTGACAGACCATTTCAGCCCGTCAGCCTTGTGCCCCTCACTTACACCTTCAAACCCTGGGAAGCAGACTATGTTTCGCACACTTCGACTTCACATCTTTTCGATGTAACTGTTTTCGATTTTTCCACCCACCCTTAACCTTAGCACCCGAGGGTGCCATTCCTCTGATGGCAGATCCTCTCAGCATCGCAGCATCGGTGCTTGCCATTGCGACAGCCGGATACAAGACATCTGTGTCTCTCTACACCCTTTCAGAGACGGTAACTACTGCGAGCCAGCGTGTCGAGAGCATTGCAAGCGATGTTGGCAGCACAGTCAGTATTCTGAACCAGCTACGCGACCTAATTATCCCGGAACACGGACCGCATGGCACTCGCACAACTATCTTCAACTCAACAGCTCTTCGAGATATCTCAACAGCGATCAGGCACTGTCAGCATGTGTTTAAACAAATCCATCGTTATTTGCAGCGCGCGACTAAACAGATCAAGGCGCAGTCACTTACACCAACTACGAAGATCCAGCTGTCAACTTCGGAGAAGGCAAAATGGCCATTCTTACAGCCGCAGTTTACTGAACTGAGGAACGACTTGCGGGACTCGAAAAGCAATCTTTTACTCATGGTTACAGTAGCGCATCTGGCCATAACACAAAAGGGAGGTCGAAGGCGGAACATAAATGAGGAAGAAGAGGCTGAGCTGAGAACTACCATCATTCGCTTACAACGCACTGAGGCCGCTGAGGTGCAAAGCATTATAAGCGACTTGAGTGAAGAAGATATTAGCACGATGAAGAGACTCCTTCGGAAAGTACGTGGGCTGAGACCATCAAAAGATGGGAAAGAAACGCCAAAACCACCAACAAGGAGTCTTGGGAAGAAAGCGGAGGAAGGAAGTCGTGACGTTGCTGTTTCTCCAAAAACGGCTTCAAGTAATTTTCAAGAAGTGCCAGAGGACGAAGAATTGCCTGTTGTCAGTGGTAGCCGACGAAAGACACAGAAAAGAGTGGTTTCAAGGAATCGAAAGTCCAGCGATTCGAGCGTTCAGCAGACTCAGCCGCATCTAGCAGATGAGGAACCAGATACTGTACCTGAGAAGCGTTCGTCGAACTACAAAGTGGCATTGGATCGTGGGGCTGAAGATGTGACCTCAGTTAAGCAGAAGCCAGTAGAGCTTCAGGCCGAATCTGTAACGAAAATGCCAGAGGACCGTCCGGACTCCCAGGTTCCGGTAGATGTCCCTAAGATTGCATTGGAGACAAGCATGGAAAGTGCGACAATAGGAGCAAAGCTTGTACCTAGTACTTCGACGCCAGAAACGAAAGACAGACACAGTGTGGGCAAGTCAGATAGCGCATCACCTGGGCCACTTCAGAAGTCTCATCCTGCCCTAATCGAGAATCCAGACTCGATCGCCCAACCTATTCCAAAACTTGACTCATCCAGTGATACTAAAGAGTTGGCTCGCTTGATCGGCGAAGAGTTGATGGCGGCTTTTGAAGAGAATAATCGGCAGAAAGAGATCCCAGAAGATGTGGAAATACAAGAGGAGGTACAGGATGAAGACGAACCACTGCATGCATGGGTCTCCAATTATTCCGGTAACTTGAATGCAGAGGTTCTGCCTCTCCCGATTTCGGAGGCTGATATCCAAAGCCTGATAGACAATCGGAAAGGAGAAGACTATAGCTTGCTCGGAGCCTTAAGCAAGCTGAATACCATACAGCGCCGAATGATATTACAACAGGTCAAGAGGTTGGAACTAACGCTATATTTCGTCGATACATGGGCGAAGGAGAATGTTAGTACATCTTTTGGGGATTTAGAAATCGTTCTCGTTCTTTGGGTCGCAAAAGGCCATCCGCGATACGGACTACCACCCGCTGCTGGCGGGAGAAATCGTATCATGCCAGGAATTCCACAACAAATGATGCAAAATCAACAGGCTTCATACCCAGGTCAACTGCCACCGCTGCAATCACAAAGTCATCCTCCTATCCAAGGTCATGGTCAGACGCGTGCTCATTCATGGGCTCCAGCTCCGCAATCGTTTCCTGGTCCTAATATGGGTGCGACAATGCCAAACCGGCATATGGTGGGAGCGCCAACGCCACCACCACCACCTCCCCCAATGCCCGGGCACGGCGCGCCGATTGACTATGTATCCGCTAGTCAATTTAAGAAGCAGAAGAAGTTCAAGATGCATCGCAGCTTATCTGAGTCATCTTTAGAGAGTGAAAGCTCGTGGGGAGACGAGTCTGAGGACTCCAGCTTTGTCAACATCGAGGACGATGATCGTATCGATGCTGGTCGACGCGAACGTGGACGTCAACGACAGTTCAAGAAGCCGAAGAAGAGCCAGAAACAACGCTCACTCAGCAAAGCTAGAGGCACTAATCGCAGAAGAAGCCATAGTCGTCCACGAAAACCCATCGTCGACCGATACACCAAGAAAGCGTCACAGAGACCTCGAGACAGCGAGCCAATGGTTGAGGACTGCTTCGATGGATATAGTTCAACTTCATCTGCTACCACATGGAATCCTGAGATATCGGCGCCGCCACGACGCTTCGGCATGGCTCTGCGTGCAAAGACTGTAAAGAGTAAAGAACGCAGACAGAGACAATCAGAAGCTGTGGCAAAAACGAGAAGAGAAGATGATGCAGTCGTTGACAATTTATTGGCCAAATGGACGTCGTAGCAAGGGAAGATGTTGGCGGCGTTGGCATCATCACAACTCTCCTGGAAGTTCGATATTGCGCCCACAAAGCAGGCTGGATTCCTTCGCGACTAATCTTTAATCTCGCCAATGTTATCTCTTAGCGATTCCCAAGAATTCCGAGCGCCCGGAATAACACCTTCAATCCCAAGATGAGATCAGCATCAGTAAATCGCACTAATAAAAAATACATGTCTTCATCAACATCATACAGGATGATGAAGCCTACAGAAAAAGCACCATGATCAACTCAGTCCTCACTGCGATCCTTAGACCACACTCTCACCGCAATAGCAGCACTACGATCAGCCTTAAGGACACAGGACATCTAACATGAAGACCGCCACATCACTACTTGAGACTACCAAGACTACTAATCTAGCCATTTGGCATAACTCTCTACAGCTACTTCACCTGCAGACACTGGTATTTAGATCAAGCTGTACTACACACAGCCTTGCGGCATGTATTCGGAATTGGGGTCAATATGCGCTGAGCTGCCTACCCAAACCCGAAAGGCATAAACCGGGGATCGACCGGCTATGTCAGATCAGTGGCTTTCTCGCACGACTCAACGCGACTAGCGTCAAGATTTGGCATGCGAGCAGTGGTGCGTGCCCGCAGACGCGCGAGGGCTATAGTAACGCGGTCCGCCCAAGCGATGCCGTCTCTATCCTGGAGTCGCTATACTCTGATAGGACTTTCACATCTTCTTTCTCCCTTGCTTCTTCTTACTCTTCTCTCCTCTTATCTCAAGAAGATATCATTCGTAGATGAACGGGAATAAAGGGTGGTAAGACGATGAGCGTTTGCATACTGCCTTCTGAAGAAAGAGCCATCTCATGTTGTTATTAGTACCTGCCACACCGACTAGCGTACTGCCTATATAGCCAAATCGTCCGTAGAATCAATGCATCACTTCAATACTCCAACACCTTCTACAAAGTCTTTCCCACAATTCTTTTCATCTCATTCTCATGCTTTCATGTTTCGTCGGTATCATTCATATCGTATGCTCTCCACCAGAATTCAGACTTCATCAGTTGTGTCAGGTTCTCGAGATTCGGTCATCTGACCATAGAGAGGACAACAACTCGCGGTCACTTCCATCCCTCCGTTTGCTATAAGCAGGATTGCGCCGCGCGGCTGGTCTGTGCAACTTTTATTCTCGTTGCCACGGTCACTTACATTTCCGATTCTGATTTCGAATTATTCCTCTTGTTGATATTCGAGTTTATTCCTCTCGCAATCACCATTGGCCACATACAATCTACGTCGGTGGTTTCCCATTACACTTGCTTGTTCACTGTCCATCGCTGAAACGCCACCATGTGTATCATGTTCTTCATATCCCACTACGACGGCCCACGAGAGCACTTCCTTTGCCAGTACCACTGCGCACATACCGACTGTCCCGGAACCTTTGAGGCACATCAAAAGTATCTACTTGAAGAGAGCCGCTTGGACTGCTCAGAGTGTTTGGCCAAAGATGGCGATCAGGTGGATCCAGATATAGTTCCGATACAGTACTATCCTGCCACTCCCCACTTTGAGATTGAGTACGTGGAGGGGAAGGGTTGGGTCAAAGTCTGTGAGCAAGGTGGCGTGAATGGTACAGGGAAGACTAAAGTGCAGGAGGATGAGGAGGAGGATGATCAAGATGACGGACGCTACGCTCATAGCTTCGCAAGTCTCTCGGACTGCGATAGCGTCACTTCACACTGGCGTCTGGATCCAACCTTCGCATCGCCTGTTCGCCCAACCGCTGCGACCACTAAGGGCAAGTCGCCCGCTCCACCCTACCAGGGGCTGTCAACAATGGAAGAGGCGTATGAGACGCGTTCTCCACATGAGCCGCCACACGAGATGACCAAGGTACGTGAGTAAATTTTTTTCGACTTGCGATTCTTCTCGTCTCAGTAAATCTTTTGTTGAGATCGTTGAAAAGGTATGTGAGGTTTCTTATGAGAGCGTATCCCCTGGACCAGAGCCAAGCCAAACGATCCTCCAAGAATCGCCATTTGGCGACTCTCCCAACACTATCGAGCACCGAAATCTTGTCAATCGGCAGCTCGCGACACTCGAGCACCGGATGGCCCATCGTCAGCCTCAGCGCGATCCCAGCCAGCCCACGTTCAACGTTCCGCATCACTTTCGTCAAGCTGTCAGGCGTGAATCTGTTGTGAGCAATATGCCGGGTCATGCTGCTCCGCCTCCCGTTACTCTACGACCACCTCCAAGAGTACTACCAGGAGGACCAGACTACGAGAATGGATTTCATTACATGGTTTCCACATCAATCACGAATGGGGTACCAGATCCTCGATGGGGCCCAGTTCCGGGACCTGGCGAGATGACCGGTTTTTCTCTTGTAAGTTGTGCTGGTGTTTCGATTGATGACGTTTTGTTGACGGCTAACAGTTCTAGGGAAAGCCTACTCAGGCTGTTCGTAAGCGTCACAAACCGCGTAATAAAGAGGAACGAATGAGACGAAGAAACGAGAAGGCGGGCCACTTTGGAAGGCTTTCGGAATGAACGAGTAGCGGGATATCTGGATAATGAACGAGATAGGGAAGGCTTTGGCCATGATGGATTGGTGGATGTTTTGTTTGTGCCTTTCGTTCAGTACAGCATCTTGCCTTGAGAATTTGCAATTATTCAGGATGCCCATAATACATGGACGAAGTAATAGGGACCTTACGTCCTGTACATGTAATGAGAGGAGTTTACGTACCTGAATCAGATGGAGTTCATGCGCACGTGCATGGTCTTGGCGCGCTACAGGTGTCAGGGTGTTGGTGACGTCTTGTAGATCTTCGGCAACTCTGATCAACAAACACCGAGCCGCAGTCCGACGTTGAAACATCTGTACACTTTTTTGCGACAACTCTAGCAGCACCTGCTGTCCTGGGCTCGATGTCTAGGTTGTCAAACTAGTCTCTTTTCGTTCAGCCATACCACCACCCACCCAACTCCCCACCTCCATTAATAGACAATCAGCCGTCATGGCGTCTCTCCCGTCTCAGCGCCCCGCGTCGCGACATAGACCCGCACCACCTGCCGAATCGTCGTCCTCGCAGCAAGAGCAAACGGAGCGATCGAGCAGCTTCTCTGGCCAGTCGGTAGACTCGCAAACGCTACTACTCAACACGCCGTCTACACAGTCAACCACTTCCGCGCCTCAGGAGCAGGAAGAGACACCCGCGCAAACCACCGCGCCACAACAAGAAGAGGATGACGAACCACGGAGATGCTGGATCTGCTTCAATGACGAGACGGAAGATGACGAAACAACATCGGAGTGGCGGTCACCTTGCGCGTGCTCACTGGTGGCGCACGAGAAGTGCCTGCTAGACTGGATAGCCGACATGGAAGCGCCGAGCTCACGACGGCAAGCTGGTAAATCGGCAGGGAAGATATTGTGTCCCCAATGCAAGAGCGAGATCAGGGTACAACGGCCGAGGAGCTACGTGGTGGACGTTGTTCGGAGCGTCGAGCGTCTTACGGGTAGCCTACTGCTCCCTGGCTTCGCACTCGTCACAGGCACAGCGCTCTATTCGACTTTGACGCTTTCTGGGACTGCGACTATATACCAGATATTTGGCACACAAGACGCGCTGCAGATCCTCGGACCACTCTACGAGACGCCAAACCGCGCGGTGAACTCGGTCACAATGCAGTGGCTCGAACACCTGAGGCATCACTGGAGGCTGGATCTTGGACTGCCTCTGATACCGACGGTTCTGGTCGCAAGCCGAACAACCTTTGCCGACTCATTCCTGCCCTTCCTCCCTCTCATCTTCTTCGTCAGCTCCGGACAGCCAGGCGATGACATGCTACAGCTGCAGTGGCCACCGAGCGCCGCTTTCACCTTCGCCGCGCTGCCATATCTCCGAGGTTTCTACAACGCATATTACGAACGAGTCTGGTTACCACGAGAGCAGCAGTGGTTGAAGGAGATCCAGCCACGAGCTGGCGAAGACACAACCGCAGATGTACAGGCACAAGCCCAACACGATCACGACCACGACCATTTGGGTGATGAGGACGTGGTAGAAGAGGTGGAGATTGAACTCGACTTGGACATCTTCGCAGATTGGAACAACGATGGCGAAGCCGATCACGACGACGCGCTTGAGGATCCTCCTGTACGAGCTGCACGAGGCCCAGCAGGGCCGATCGACGCGCCTCCACAAGATGACCAAGATGATGCCAACATGCCGGCTGTTCAACTCATCGACGATGCTCAACCAGACGTAGCACCTGCGCCCAACATCCCTATGCAGCCTGCTGCCCCACGACCTCGACGTGTCCGACGCGAACGCGGCGTCACTTTCTCCACCACATCCCTCGCTGACACCATCCTCGGTGCCCTTATCTTCCCCACCATAGCCGCCGCAATGGGTGAATTGCTCAAGCATACCCTGCCGAGCTCATGGGTCACACCTCCGACTGGCGCGCCAGCGATGTCCTGGCTCGGCGGCTGGATTAACACCGGTGGCAAGGTCGGCGGAGTGGGCAAGCCAACAGGCTTCCTCCAGACGCGCTGGGGAAGAAGTGTTGTTGGTGGATGTATGTTTGTGGGTCTCAAGGACTTCATCATGCTGTACGTTAGGTGGAAGACGGCGCAAAATCACCGGAAGAGAGGCATTGTGAACCATGATAGGAAGAAGGGAAGGGGCGGTGCTGCGGCGGCATCGTGAGGTGCATGAATTTTGGAGCATAAGAACGGAATCTAGGAGTATATGGGTTGGATATGATGATGGCACGAAGGCTACTAGCGTCTCGCAAGCACAAACTCATTTGGAGGTTCTGATATCTGTATATTACACTCAATCACGCAGGACTGGCATCAGTCAGGTCAACTATGAACCTATACGCTGCATCCAAGAAATGTTCCCTGCCTACTCAATTGTGACAACGCTACCCTACCCGATATCACAACCAACCCTTCCACCTACCCAAATCTCTCCGCAGCAATCTGTCTCAAAAAGTCCATGGTCTTGCCCTCCTTCTCCCTTCTTTCCGCCAATCTCTCATTCCTCTCCGCTTCCCTCGCCCTGGCAATCTCTTCTCTCCGTATCTCCCTCTCATTCTTCTGCCTCTCCTGCTCCTTCTTCTTCTTCTTGTACATGTCTATGCCGTCATCGCCCATTAGATCCGACTCTGGTACTTCCAGTTCGCCGGCTTCTTTGGCTTCGCGGAAGGAGTTCAGCGTGGAGGTTGTTTCGCGCTTCTTTTCGAGCTGGCGCTCGCGGGAGCCTGGGTCAGCGCGCGGGACGAGGTCTTCTAAGGCTTCTTTCTGAGATTTGCGGTCGTTTTTGCGGGCGTGACGGATGTCGTCTACGTAGTCCATCTGGCCTTTCTCGCGATCCTCGGCGCGGAGCTCGTTGCGGTAGGTTAGGTCGTCTAGTTTGGGGATCGTTGGTCCGTGGCCTTGGTGCCGTTGCAGATTGCTGGGTGGTGCTGGGCCAAAGTCATCGTCGCTCTGGTCTGATGTCGCTTCTTCTCTTGGTGCGTAGCTTGGTGAGGCTCGTTTCGTGGGGGCGCGAGGAGAAGATGCGCGGTAGGATTGTACGGTTTCTTGGGCTGTTTTCAACATGGATGGGTCGTACCAGCTTCGTGCTAGGTCTCCACGGTTCCTGAAATGTTAGTATTGGCTGGTCTATCTGTGCAAAGCGTAGGAGGATATGGGCGCATACCAGCGACTGACGAAACTCTTCCATCGTCCCTTAGTCTCCCGCTCATCTAGATCATCAAGTTGTATCTGCTTCTGTATGTCCAAATAGGATTGGAACAGCGGTTTGTACTCGTCATACTGTCGCTTCGATAGCGGTTTCGCTTTGTAGGGTAAAGCTACAGGCTTCGGTGCAGGTGGTGAGCGCGAACGGTGTCGCTTGTGTCGGTGGCCGTCATCGTCGCGACGGGGAGAGCGCGAGCGATGCGATCGGTGGTGTTTCTTATGGGTGCGCGCTTCGTGGGATCGCGAATCGCCATGCGACGGCAATCCCGCTTTGGATTCTTCGGGGGTCCAGCTACGTCGCGGCATGATGGAGGTTGAGTTGTTGAAAGTTAATGTGGAGATGGTGTGGGAAGATTCACATGTCATAGCGGGCCGTTTCCGCGCGCTCGAGTAGACTAGCACGATACTGGCTCGATCTGTGTTCGAGCCAGCTTCTAACATTGTTCATGCCTCATATATATGCACTAATGTATGCAAAGCCGCTTTCGGGCTTGATTTATCACCAGTCGCCCAAGAAGGTATGCCATTCACGCGAGGGCCATTCTTCCCACATCATACCAACAGACTCCCAATCAGACATGCTCCGAAAATTCCTGACAGTAGGGGATCGACTGTAGGGATTGTCATTGTTCATCGGCTTGCATCTTGACATATCTTTATCGACGTTGGAAGGGCGACGTTCCAATGAAAGATCAAGATCCTTGAATGGAGGGTGGAAGGTTGTTGTCATACTACATACCCAAGTTTTGAAACCGTTCCCGAGACTCCTGTACTCTTCCGGGCCACTCAACTCGAGGATGCACCAGGCTGCAGGTTCCGAGAGAGCACAGCCCAGAGATCATATGTCCTTTGGTAAACTATGACCTGAGTATGGCAGTGGGAGCAAGGCTGGGTCATCATCGGGAATCACAGCGGCGGAAGCAAAGTAAAAGGTGAGGGACCAGCGCGGGTGACAAGAAACACACCAGCCTACGCGGGGTAGGATCAGGCACAGGGATCAGTGACGATCACCTGCTGCACAACCGCCTATACAGTAGGTAGTTGACAGGAGGGTGTGTTTGCTTTGTGGGCGGTGTTCGCGTGTGGTCAATGTTGATCATGCTTGATCGATGCAGGTTCACACAGTCTTCGACCTGTGCTCGATCTCAAAGAGCCAGCTGGTATCACGTTAGACGTTTGTTGGAAATACCGAAAGATCGCGTGTCGCTACAGCTGCGTGAACGCAGGCCTTCATGGCCAGTCTGCGCCAGCTGGGTGAAAGTATGAAAGGATGTGCTATCGACCGCGGAACAAACCAGGAGCTGTGACGACTCGACATGAGAAAGCACGCACATCACTAGGAAGGTGGAGGAAATTATCACACTACCGTGGCTTGGGACCTGGAATTATCGTCTTTGGCCACGGTCATGACAGCCAAACGTACCTTTTTCCCATGCAGCGGCCCTTCTTCGGACGGGGTGTCGCTAGCGCCAACCTCACCAGATCGGAAGCCGGAGACTTCACATGTCAGAAGCACCGAAGAGAGACCGATCTCGAGTACTGGTACCTGGGATGTGGATGTGGCTGCAGGTCGGGCGAGCAACGGCTGACGAGTAAGACGACTCCACGAGCTTTGAATTATAGCTACTCATGTTTTCTCGCGGCCTTATGTCGGCACATACTGTGTAAACTAGGCGGTATTAGGCGTACCGGGGCGCAGCCGTTACACTTTCTCGTCGGCTGGCGCACGATTTGTACGCGAGCTTCTGAAGTGCCTTGAGGCTCTCTGACCCTTCGATCAGTGCATAAGAAGGCACATGTTCGCTGCTCTCATGACTATACAACGACAGTGGACAGCAGCTCTAACGTACATACTCACATATCTGTTCTAGCTATTGTTGACTTTCCTAGTATATACTACGAGCAGCCATCGCCTTCAGTCGCTAGCTGCACCAAGCACAAGCGATGACATCCCTGTCCAATGAATCTGTAATCGCCATCGTCACTCTCGTCACGACTTGTCCACCTTCGTTGGTCCTCATCTGGCACCTCCTCACACGTAGACGACGCGATGTCATAAGAGAAGAACAAGGTATGTGAAGGTCAAGGCTATCTGTAGTCGATGTTCGCTGCTTACGACGTTGAAGACGTGGAACTCAGCCCTCGCTCTACTTTGAACCACAGGATCGTCCAGCATATTACAGATGTCGTACTCCGATCTGTCATCGCCCACCGTTATACACGAAGATAAGATGCCGCGTCGAACAAGCGAGCACGAGCGTGAGTCGGCTTTCCAACTCTAAGACGATACCTAGGTAGTCTGACATGATCCACAGAACATATTGCGAATTTACAATGATACCCACATACAATCTACTCATCCCTAATAAAGAGCCGTGAGCCAAATAACGGAGCTCATTTATGGGGCATGAAGTTGCAACGGCAACGGCTAACATGCCGTTGCTTACATAAAGGAAGAGCATCGGAGTCTTTATCGAGACTCGATTCAATACCTGCGTCTTGCGAGACGTTTTCTAAACATATCTCTTCGTCTAGACTTGGTTGTGCGATGCTCTCCGGATGCGCCGTCCCCCTTCCTCCTATTCTTCCCTCCAGCTTCACCATCTTCAGAATCGACGATCAACCACCTATGTCTATACGATAACCAAGCTTACCTCTTTGTACTGGAGTCCTGAACGCGAACCTAGTAGGACCTTCACCGTTTTACAAGTATTGTCGAACAACCTGAACAGACTGTATCAAGAACTTCATACAAACTCAACAGCAATGAAGCTGGCTTGAACATACATCAGGGTTGGGTTAAGAGGAGGAAGCAATGACTTAGAGGAAGAAAGCTAAGATAGCGAAATGATGATGAAGTCGAGTTCGGCCTAGGGTCTGCGATCAATGCCATATGATACCTTGTCGTTTAACTCAGGCTTCTGTTAGATCCCTCTTCATGATCTAGCTCTCATCATCCTCCTCTTCCTGCTTCTCATCACACGACCTTTCACACCACTCCCGATGGCGTTGATAGTCAGACCGGTCTTTCGAGTACCAGGACTAGAAGTTGCCGATTTTTCGCAGTATTAAAGCTGCACCCCCCTCTGATGCTACGGCTGTGCAGTAGGTTCGTACAGCGATCGATATCACTGTGGGAGGCGATATTGATGTTGCTGGGATAGTCAAATCCCGGGATGGTAACCTATACTTCCGATTGCTGGTGATGTACAAAGTGATGTAGCGACCATCACAGTCTGCCACAATGCAAGCGTCGAAGAACTCTCCCTAACGTCGCTCTCTTCGTCTTCCAGATTGCTCTTTTAAGACCACCTTCTGTCTCGACTTCTATCTTCTCACCCTCATCATCCTCACTAGCGGCATACCTTTCTATCCTCCCATTCCTATGCCAGAACGATATGCCATGCTCTTTGCTAGTGTCTTGTTCTGCTCCACCCCCATATTCAGCCTCGAAACAGGCTGTAGGAAAGGCAACACCTAGTGCCGTCGCCGCCCTCCGCGTACCCTCGTCCTTGAATCCCCACCACTGCCTTCCTTCTTCAACAATGGTGATAACCGATGGTGTCCGCGTCGCAATTGCTCTTTCTCCTTCTACGATAACTCTAGGTAGGAAAGGTGTACTCAACACGTCGACTTCAGTAGAATCGAATGAAAAACGGGGTTCATCAAGTAATGTCTCCGATGAAGAGAAGGACACCGGCAATGACTCTCCTGGGTAGTAGATGTCAGATTCAGATGAGGAGGGCTGGTTAATATCGCGGCTGAAGGAGGTGCAGGTTTCTTGGTCCTGATGGCATTGGAATGGAAGCGTTGTATTCGTAAAGGGGTTTACAACGTTCGTGGTAGGACGTAATGGTGGTGATCGTCTAGGTGAAACTCTCAGTGACCTTCGAAGAGGTGATGCGCATACGGTGGGATCGACTGCACAACTGTGGTCCTGATTTATGATGTCGCTGTCCGATGAGGAGCATAGGGGAGGATTGTTACGACGGCGGCCGAAGTGGGACCTGGTTGTTGACTCTATACCAGGATTCATAAGGTATGTCGTGCCTGATGGTCTAGCTGACGACGATAAAGATGGCGTCGAAAAGGACGTTAACGGTGACAGCATAGGCGTACCGGAAGTGGAGATATTTCTCCTGCTGATGTCTCTACCTATAGTCGTAGGAGAAGAAAAGAGTGAGGTATTTCATCCCTTCCAGCATTTCGATGTAGCAGAAGAGTACATCATGAGAAGATACTCATACGTGTAGAGGATGATGTGGTTTAGCAAACCCAAAAGTACGAAGCTGTGAGCCTTCTATGCGTGATTCCGTGTAGGCTTGCCAGATACCGAAATCCGATCAGCCGACGTAGAATTAGTTTGCCTGGTTTGTAGCTGAGATTAGAGTGATGTGCAAAAGGAGCTTGGAACATTTCTCTTAATCACTTCAAATCGTGATTCTTCCATCGTTGCCGCACAGTGTGGTTCCGCGATAGCCCACATCCATGGAAAGCGAATGCAAGTCAATATACATAGAAACGACGACCGTGAATCAGAGAACATCAAATTGCAATCATTGAGAAAATCCGGGTAGCGAGAGTGACCAACCACAGGAGATCATGTTACAAATCCATCAAATCAACGTTCTTCTCAAATTCATACGTACCACGGTCAATGATGCCCGCTCCCCACTCCACATACCCGATTTCGAACTGCGATAGGTGATAGCTCTTCACCTCCATGTTTCATTCGTCTTCTCCCGTTCCCAACTCTTACTAAAATATAAGACTGATATCTCGCTTTTGATTTACCGACTTTTCCAAAGAGAGAAAAACCAAATCACATGCACTGACCGCCTAGAAGGATATGCTAAACAGAAAGGAGTAAAACGCCGGTGCCGACCCAAGAATATACACAACGAATGAAGTTACACGTGAATCAAACATCTACACCAGTGATGGCTTTAACGACCGGATCGCTCCTTGGTTTGCTTTCTTCGGTCCTTGATGGTTTCTATTCGACATTAGTATAGGTCATCGTTTCACAGAAACTATTCAACTTACTCTCGTCGTAAATCATAAACTCGTGCAGACCACTTCCTGCGGGCACCATGGGCAGCACAGGTACCTTCTGGTCAGTGACGACCTCCAGCAGGGCCGGACCGTCGCTCTCGAGGAGCCACTTTAGCGAGTCCTCAAGCTCCTCAGGCTTGATGCATCGCTTGGCCTGGACACCCATGGCGTCACCGAGCTTGACGAAATCGGCGTTGCGCTGGTGAGTATGCGCGAATCGGTCGGTGTAGAAGAGAGTTTGCCATTGGGTAACCATACCCTGCTCCTCGTTGTTGAGAATGATGACCTTGACGCCAATGTTGAACTCGGCAGCCGTTGAGAGCTCGGTCAAAGTCATGCTGAAGGAGGAGTCACCGTCAATGTCAATGACGGTGCAGTCAGGTCGCGCGACCTTGGCACCGATGGCGGCAGGCAGACCGTAGCCCATGGTTCCGAGACCACCAGATGTGATCATGGTACGGGGGTACCTCCATCGGTAGTGCTGGGCGCACCACATCTGATGCTGGCCAACACCAGTTGTGAGGATGGTCTCTTCCTTGCGGTTCGCGGTGAGGTCAGAGAGCTTCTCCATGACGGTCTGCGGCTTGATCAGACCGTTCTCGCCCTCCTTCTCGTAGGCCCATGGGAAACGCTCCTTCCAGGCGGCGATTTGTCCCAGCCACTCCGGTCTCTCGGGAACTTCGTTGACGAGGGGCAGAAGCTGCTTCAGGTTGGTGCCGAGATCACCCTCAACAGCCTCAGTCGCCTGTACAACCTTGTTGATGTTCTTGGGCATAATCTCGAAGTGAATGATACCACCACGACCCTCAGCCGCGGCCGCCTTTGCCGCAGGTGCGAACTTGGAGATGGCACCGGTGATACGGTCATCGAAACGAGCACCGAGAGCGAGAATCAGATCGGCCTCCTGCATGGCCATGTTGGCGTAGGCCGAGCCGTGCATACCGAGCATGTGAAGAGACTTGGGTTCCAGTTCGTCGTATCCTCCAAGACCTTGCAGGGTAGTGGTAACGGGAATGTTGACCTTGTCAGAGAGCTCCTTCAAAAGGGCGGGTCCGTCCTCAGTTTGGAGGATACCCTGTCCGGCGTAGATGACGGGCTTCTTCGCCATGTTAATCAGGTCGGCAGATCGTCGGATGGAGTTTTCGAGCTGTTGCTTGCTGAGCTCGCGCGCAGCAATGGTCGCGGCACTGACAGGTGTGGGCAGGGTGCTGCTCATGGGAATCGCTCTTTGGAGGACACTAGCGGTAACATCCTTGGGCAGGTCAACGAGAACGGGTCCCGGTCGTCCACTTGTGGCAATCTCGAAAGCCTCGTTGATTCTCCGTGGAAGTTCAGCAACGTTCTTGACGAGGACGTTCCACTTTGTGCAAGGCCTTGTGATGCCGACCATGTCAGCTTCCTGGAAAGCATCGGATCCAATTGCGCTGGTAACGACCTGACCGCAGAAAACAACCAGAGGTGTTCCGTCCATCAGCGCATCCTGCATGGGTGTGACGACGTTGGTGGCACCGGGTCCAGAAGTAACGAGCACAACACCGGGCTTTCCACTTGCGCGGGCGTAACCCTCTGCCATGTGGCCGGCACCCTGTTCATGTCGCGGAAGGATAAAGTCGAAGTGTTTTGACTGGTAAATCGCATCGAAGACGGGGAGAATGGCACCACCGGGGTATCCAACTGGTGGATGTTAGTTTAAAATTCACAATTGGTATCTTCAGTGCAAAATGGCGTACAGATGTGCTTGACGCCCTGGCGGAGCATCATCTCGTGGAAGATCTCTCCACCAGTCATGCCAACAAAAGAGTGGTCCATTGCAGGCGAACGGTACTGCTTCAATGGCTGGACATCCTTGTAGTCCTCGCGGTTGAAGGCGGGCGACGGTCTTGACCGCGACGCTGTTTGTGTGGCAGCGGCCGCCTGGGTGCTCTGAGGTCGCTTCGCATCTTCTTGGGTGATTTTGGTCGAGACAGCCTGTGCAGGCCTGCGGAAGGGCGAGACGGCGAATCTTTGTGCTGTGGTGGAAAAGTTGCGGTTGCCCTTGAGAGCATTTACAGCTCGTGTGCGTGACTGCTGCATGACGGGGATGGGCGTCCACTGGGGGACGGGATATTACTATACACGGAGGGGAGAGCAGCAGCAGAGACGGGAAAAGCAAGACGTGGGAGAGAAGTGTGGGAGGCAAGCTGACGGACGGTTTTGAGTCAATTGGCCGTTCGCCTTTGACTCTTCCTCTGGCCCAGGTTCGTGGCGCATATGAAAAGTTAGTGGAGTCGTCTCCCCGGTGGCAGGGGTCGTGATTGGGCGATCCCCGCAATTACATGGCCTACTGCCGAACATCGGAGCGCTGGTGACAGCCGTCTAAGCAGCAGCGACCATCGACACGATGCAGGTTCCACCCGGAGGAGGCCATAGTCGTAGTGTGTCGGGCGACGAGCGACGACGAAGTGTGTTGACTGCTGCACGCATCCAGGTTGGCATGACTAACAGAGGCAGATGCCCTTCCTCGGCGCAGCACAAAAGGTCCGCTCGACGTCGATGACATAGTTGTAGACGAGTATGCGCCCCTTCTATTCAGCCGGCATGCAATACGACAACAAGAAACACGCTTACAAAATGATGCAGCCCTCTTGCTGAGAGCACACCCAGCCTGCCTGCGCGCATTCGGTCGCCAGCGCGGCCTCGAGCTTCCCCGCAGCCGTCCCACGATGCCCCATCGCGCGGCATCGACGACATTCCCCACAAGGACTTCAGCTTCCTGCAAGACCCCCAGGCGTACCACGTCCTACCCGTGAACAATGTACCAGCCCCCTTCCTCAATGCGCCGCACGCGCCGCCTATATCTTCGCCTATAGACACCCTTCTCCTATCAGGACACTATCGCCTGGCTGCCATCGCCGCCGCGCGCAACCTCATCTCGGCTGCCGCAGGCGACCATGATACACTATTACATCTGATACATGTCCGCCTGGCATGTCTCTGTCTATTGCAGGAGCATGCCCTCGCTGCTCAGGAGTCGAAGGTCTTGGGTGACCTGAATAGCGCCTTCTACCGACACCCACTCACCAACGCGCATCTCGTACCCTGGGATCTACGCCTCCTCGTCGTTCGATTGGCAGCACTGGGCTACGGAGAGTGGCGGAAGGGCATAATGGGATACTATGAGCTTGCACGAGAGTGCAGGGAGAGCATCCTTAAAGCAAGCTCAGACGACGACAAGGCAATGTGGCGGTCGAGATTACGAGACTGCGGTATCCGCGTCGCGAACGTGCTTGTAGAGATGGGTGATCTCGAGGGCGCAGGACGACATCTGGCAACACTTGCAGCAGACGGTGACCAAACAAGGGAGATATCCATCATGGAAACACTTGTCTGGCTCAGGGTTGGTGACATGCAATCAGCACGGCGTTGTCTAGCCCGCGCATCCTCTGCCTCTGTAGATGCTCTCGTAGACGGCACACTAAACGCTCTGATCCAACTCGCCGACTCGGACTATGAAGCTGCTGCCGAGTCTTTCAAGACCCTGCACGAGCAACATCCTGAAGATGGCATGGTAGCGCAGAACTTGGCCGTGTGCTTACTCTACACGGGCCGTATTTCGGACGCCAAGGGTATCCTCAGTGAGCTTGTGGATGATAGCCCACCGTTCCATTCGCTTGTGTTGAACCTGAGTACAGTGTATGAGTTGTGTACAGAAAGGAACAGGGACAAGAAGCTTGGATTGGCTGAGAGACTGGCTGGGAGGAGAGAAGGTGGTGGAGTGGGTTGGGAGCTGAGTAACGCCGAGTTCAAGCTGTAGATGACTGATCTTGGATGTCATGAATGATTTGATCATAGTGAATTGGACCTGTCTTGTCTCGTTGCTAGCTCGGAAGCCTTCTCAGGGCTAGGATATCTGATAGTTTCACATTGCCCTTTCCACCCCAGCCTGCAGCGCCTTGAGCTACATCCGGTCGAACGCGGACATACCAGCCCCAAGCCCGTTTGTCTAGGTCATCCTTATCGAGTACTTTTGCCCATGATTCATAGAGTAGTTCCAGCGCGCCTAACAGAAGACTAAGATTGTGCTCTTTCTCTGCTGCAATGACAGCAGCTGTTCGCTTGCCCTTTGGCTTCGGCACTGCCTGTCCCTCTATCTTGACATCAACATCTTCTGTCTTGATTACCTCTGCGGCAGGTGTCTCGAACGCCTTCATCAGATACGCCCTTGCACTTTGCGCGGGATATATAGGCAGATTGCTTGAACCGTTTCTGGAGGTCTGCGCCTTCCTGAGCGCTTCAAGATCCACACCCCATAGCGCAATCTCCCTCTCCCTCTCCACCTCATCTTTCTTCGCTTTGTTTTCCTCTTTCTCACCATGCGAAACGTCCGGCTCAGACTTGATCTTTTGCTGTGTCGTATCATCGCTACCTTCCCACTCATAGCCCCACCTCTTCATTACTCTGACCTCTCTCGTCATGATCCGCAGCAAAGGCTGTCCTTCTCCCCAGCCTTCTTCTTCAGCAGGCTGGTCCTTGTCAATTCCGATATGCACGGCTTTTGATTTGCTATTCATAGAAGTGACCGCTTGTGCTAGACTGAGGCGACTGGATATAGGTTGGCCAGGCATTGTAAACTTGAGTAGTGTTACCGCAAAGGCGAGAACGAGTGGCGCACGATTTGTGTAGACGACAGCTGAACCGACTTTCTTCTCATCTAGTTCTGGCTCTGGGAGCGCTAGAGAAGCCTCAAGATCCGCGCCATTGAGGGGTTGTCCATATGTCGGTTTCGCTCTTTTTGCTGTAGGCGCAGATGCAACTGAGGAAGTGTCTGCCGATCGCTTTTTGGATTGTCGTTTTGCAGCATTGAGCACTTGGCGCGCGACCTTCTCGTCCGCGAATATGGATTTTAGTGTTTCATGGGATGAATTGGAGAGATCTGATGGACTACGCGCATATTAGCACAGTGGGTAACGCGGTTGTACGCTGTCACGTGCTTACGTGTTGAGGCTCGCCGCTTGCAAGTCTTTGACTTTGGATAGCGCTTGGGCGAGGGGTACCTTAGCGTCTTGCGATAGGAAGCGGAGGAGGATCTGTACGTCTTGTGCTGAGGTCATGGTAATTGCCCGAGTTTGGTGCTATTAAGATGAAATGACGTTGTTCGGGATCCCGAGGCCGTGGGGAAGCCCTGGACTTGACGCTAGTCTGGACCCTCACGCGCAAGCTTAACTTTCCGATGTTGACATTCGAAACCTCAACCTCGACTTTACCTTATGGAATAATTCAGCACGACCATACTTTAGTCATTCGCTAACATGGCTTTCAAGTTCTCTTTAGGCACCGCAAAGGCCACCAAGGCGCAATTGAATGCGAAAGCCAAGGAAGAAGAGGAAGCGAAACAGCGCGAGGAGAAGAATGCGCTCGACAAGGTTATGGCCGATTTCGAGGCGGAGCATGGCGCAGAGAGGAGCATATTGGGGGAGCCTGAGAAGCAGGAAGCGGAAGATGTCTTTGTGCCAACAGGGAGTAAGAGACACTTTACAGGCAGACAGCGAACGATGAAGAGCGGTCCTGGCACCCTCGAAACCGAACCTCTCGATGATTATCAAAGACCTGGCGCAGCGCCAGGGCGTCTCGCACCACAAATGCAGTCACGATTCGGAGGAAATGCACCCTCAGGTCCCGCGTCACTCGAGGGCCCCAAGCAGCCAGAAAACGTTTACACGACCGTCGTAGCGAAAGCCTCAAACCTCCCACCCTCGATAGATACGCGTCGCGTAGAAGAGCTCTTCGCGGACTTCCCGTCGCTCAAAATTACCCGTGTCGAGAAGATACCACCGCAAGGCCCATCGCCAAAGGGCAGACCATCAGCGACGATGAAGGTCATTTTCGACAAAGATGCCAGCGCGCGAGACCTTGACGATGCAATGAACAAGCTCAACGATAAGAAGTACTTGGGCAAGGGCTATTATCTACATTTGGACAGATACCTGGGCGGTCGTTCAGTGGAAACAGCGCAGCGGACAGAGGCATTTGGTGCGCGGTGGCAGGCGCCTGAACTACCCAAGGGCTTTGCACCTCCGCCAGATCTCGGCGGGGGAGGTGGAGGTGGCAGAGACAGGCCGCGCGAGGATACTGAACAGCTCATCGTCACCGCAAACCAGCCTCCCGATGTCGCTACACTCAAACTGGTGCATCAGACCATAGAAGGTGTTATACTTGGAGGCGTGGAATTTGAAGCTGCCTTGATGAACGACCCCCAAGTCCAAGACGAGGAACGGTTCGCTTGGCTATACGACCAGAAGCACCCGGTCAACCGGTATTATCGTTGGCGCTTACATCAGATCGTCTGCGATAGTCCCAATCCCGAGATCTTTGAGCGGCATGGCGATTGGCGAGGCCCGCAGGATCCACTTCCCCACGAGTTTGCCGACCATCTAGGAGCTTTTGAGTCCGACGACGAGAGCTTGGATAGCGACGATGAGGAAGAGAAGGAGAAGCCGCAGTACAAGCCTCTGCCAGTTGGCGACAACTATCCTGGACGAGTCGACAACGGTCATGGCATTATGGACCCTAGGTCACGAGCAATGCTTCTATGGATGCTCACCACCGTTCCTCCTGGTAGCATCGTTGCTGATGATATCGCTGCTATATCGAACTTTGCTGTTGAACATGCCGGTCAAGGCATGGATGAGGTCACTAGCATACTGGTGTCCAATATTATACAGCCTTTTCAGCTTACTGATGCAAACACGAGGAACCGTGCAAGCGATGCGGAAGGTAAAGACGATCTTCGGCGCCCTGATCTCCGGCAGGTAACGCTAAACGCTCTGCGCATCATCTCTGATGTGCTCTTCGTCACGGCTAAAGAGTCAGGAGTCTCGTACAAGTATCGTCTAGCTATTGGTACGGAGCTTGTGGATCGTAAGGTCTTCGAACACCTTGAACAAATCCCTGCCAAGCTCGAGATGGGTCGCATGACAGAGAGGAGCTTTCGGGAAGAAGTCAACACTATACTCAAAGTCTGGGAGGAGGAGCATTTGTTCGATGACGCAACACTGAAACATCTCGACGAGGCTTTCAATGCGCGGGAGAGACAAAAGCAAGAAGAGGAGGAGGCGAGACGGTTAGCAGAGAGAAGGAAACGCAAGGGCAATGTGGTCCGCAAGATACCGACTTCTGAGGCAACTGAAGAGGCTGAACAGGCGATGGATGTTGACGAGGCTGCGGACGATGCGACCGTCGAGCCTGAACAAACGTCTGCGACAGCGACTCCAGAGGTGTCTGTAGCTGAATCCGTCGCGCCTACAGATCCACCCAAAGCAGCCGACCCCAAAGAAGTTGAGATACCTGGAGAGACGGCTGTCGCCAGAGCTCGCCGGTTAAGGCCCAAGGCAGAAGACATGTTTGCGCTGGACGAGGAGGACTAAGCAAGTGACAGAACTACAGATGATACCCTAGACAAGAAGTGGAGTCGGACCAGCTCATCAACGCCGCCGGCAAGCAAAGAGCGGTGATGAAAGAATCAGACCTCAACTACTGTTCTCGATGCCCCACTATTACTAACGATATGGACGATGAAAATTCCACACTCAAGGTACATGAGCAAGATCACCGGCTTCCTAGAATTCCTTTGTATATGTGATGTCTGTGTATCAACCTTCCCCCCTCAGCCCCGAGGAAGCACACACGCGCCATGCCGCTAGTCATGTCGACCCCACGCTTGATCGACATCAGGCACGTCCCCTGATTCGATACCCTGACCAAACACATGGTTGCAGCATGTTTCCTTTGACCTGATAATGAAGTGAAATATGGTGGCTCTTTGAAGACGGCAATCGAAATCAGGTGCAAGCGTGATTGGCTCGTGACTTGCGCCGTGGACCCCAACACCTCGTGGGACCGCCCGCTACGGAAGCTCTCCGCCTAAACCAACAACACAGACACTTGTAGTCGCTACCTCACACCGCCTCCCAGCCAAAACTTCGCCCACTTAGTCGCGCAGCTGCCCCTCCGGCAGCCGCTCTATCGCAGGGATATTTTCTTTCCTCACAATCTTGCCAAGACTACTGTGTTAGGGCTCTTCCGCTGCCATCTCCGCAGCTTCACAGTCGTCCTCACAACACCCACAACCCTGTACCAAGATGCCGACCTTCTTAGGGCTTGCGGTCAGCATCCATGCCGACAGTAATCCGCTGCCAGAATACTCGATACAGAAGCAATCTAAACATCACCGTATCACCTCGTACATCCCCGTCCCACCTGCGAAGATACCGCCTGGCGCTACCAAGCCTGAACAGTCTTCCTTCGCGATATCGATAACCCTGCTCACTCCAGGTCTTCACGTGCCGTACTCTACCCCCAAGCCGACTGAAGATGACCCCAACCCGAAGGCCAAGATTGTCGGTGGCCTCCCTGGTCAAACCGGAGAGCGGGGCAAGTACGGTCCCACGATAGCCCCGTACAAGCCTCTGACCACTTCGCCGAACGAGACAATTGCTGCATACATATACTTTGACGGCCGGGCGAAGGAGGAAGTAGCGACCCTGCTGCGGCGCGGCGAAGAGACGTGGGTCAACTCGCGGTGGGTCAGCGTGCCAGAGTCAGAAGGTGGGGGTCTTGCAGAGCGCGAGTTTCTCTTCCGCGAGGTTGGTCTCGAGCGATGGCTGAACGGCCTGGATCTCGAGGGCAAGGACAAAGATGTGGCCGCAAAGATTGAGCGGAGAAAGCAGCGCCTCGAAAAGAAGCGGGCAAAGCGGAGAGAGGCCATGGACAGCAGCGACGAGGACAAGAAAGCTTCCAGTAACGGTGTATTGCGCTACAGCGAAAGCCAGGACGCGCCCGTCGAGACGCTTTCCGGCAACGACGAGTTCTTCACCACCGACTCCGATTCGGACGACGAGCCCCCCATGCCCGAGGCAGCTGGACAAATCAAGGTCGCTTTGTTCCGTGTGCTAGCGTCTGGAGAAATCAAGCGCGGCGAGTACTCACCTCAGTTCGATGCACACGACGACGATGAACAAAACGGAGGAGGAGAGGGCGAAGACGTTGATCACACAACGAGTTTCGCAAAGCCCAAGACGTTGGATCCCAAGTCTATCAGCACCCAAACAGTGACTGGCATAGACCCCCCGGACAAGCCATACGCAGTATTCACCTTCTTGTACCGCGGAGAGCGTAAGCATGCAAAGTGAAAATTCCCGGATCTCAATTAACAAAGAACAGGCCAGCTGCGCAAGATGGGCATCTTGAACACAAAGGAGAAGCCTACAATCACCTCGCCACAATCGAAGCGGAAATCCGGAGCGCTTGACTTCGGCAGCCTCAAGCCCCTGAACGCAGCCGCCGGAACCAAGAATTTTGGTGGTTACCGAGAGACTTCACCCAAGTCTAACAAGAAGAAGGAAGACGCCATGGACAGCGACGCAGATGATGAGGACGACGTCAAGGTTGAGGACGCGGAGGATGACAAGGAGGTATTCGACAAGGGCATGCTATCGCCAGAAGACGCTCATAGACAGGGTGAGCTCGCGGAGGGTGTGCGCAAGATCAAGGTATGTCTCCAGAGCGTAGCAAAAGTTGCCATACTAACACCTCATAGCTCAAGCGTCAGCATTCCGCAGAACCTCTAGGCCGTCCTGCAGGACCCTCTCACTCTGACTCCACTGGATCTCCTCTTTCGGGTACACCAGCACCCGACGCCTCGTCGGCAGCTGGACCGTCATCCCCACGCGCCACAGATGCCTCCGCCGAGCCAAGTTCACAAAACTCTGTCGCTTCACCTTTCAAGAAGCAGCGCGCTTCATTACCTGGCTTCGATGACAATGTTCGGAAGAGTCTGGGCCAGGCGCTCATGGACGCCCACCAAGGACGAGCAAACTCCGACGGGAACATCCCCACCATCGAAACCAAGATGGAGGAAGATGAGGAGTTGTGACACAAGAAAATTCGTTTTCAAACCGCATTTGATTGAGTGGAGGTTGTACTGTCCCTCGTGTAACAAGCACATCTCTGTTCGCATTATAACGGTCACCCACGAGTCGAATACTGCAATGCCACATTTGTCCAAACCTTAATACCTCGCGGGCACCACGGCCGGCATCACCTTCTAGGCGCAAATTGGCATGGATCCTGCAAAAGTAAGGATATGGGGGCCTTTGGATAAACTAGGCTTGGTGCCGGGTTAGGTTCTGGGCTGGCTGATGAATTCTGTACATGATCATGTTTCGTATGTTCTCTTTTGGTGTGAGCTTCGGCAAGGCAAGAAGCGTGGTTGATGGTTTGGGATTAGGATAAGCTGGTGCAAGATGCATTACTGGTGTGTCTAGTAGTGTGGAGTGACATGAAACGAAATGTATGGCACGATATATGGTATGTGTGCATGAATGATTGATTTGCAAGTACAAGGTGAAAAGCACTGTTTATCTGATGCAGATTTCTGAAAGAAAAAGACGGTGATTCCTCGAGGCCTCGGGAGATTTTCTGCTACACCCGATTACCGTGCTGCCTGTTGTAATGGAGTATTCAGATGTTCTCCATCGGAACGGGTGCTCGATGCAGGTTTGTTGTTTTATTGCTATGTGTAGCTGTTGTTGGTTGTTGAGTGAGTGTCTGTGTTGTCTCGGCCTTTTTCCCTTCTTGCCGCCTTCGTCCGCGTCTTCCCGATCCGATTGCCTTTCATTTCGCTCTTCTTCCCACGTTTTCCCACCACACTCTGAAGCTGGTGATGGCTAAGTGCATACCGCACCAGAGATGTCTCGTCTTTCCCCGGTCTCCATGCACATAGATCCATTAAACTGCCCACTGTCGACACAGTCCGTTTCCCTCCAGTTTCTCCCTCTTGTTCAAACTCTTCCTTCGATAGCGTTGATGGAAACTGATCTCGCTTCACTAAAACACTAGACCACCCCGCATCTTCAGCGCCAAAAACATCTTTCATCAGGTCGTCTCCGACATAAAGTTTCTCGAACGATGATGCTGGGGTATCCGAGCTGAACCCTGTGCTATCCAGTGTGAGAGCTAGCATCCTTTCGGCAGCAATGAAGATACGTCGATCTGGTTTCTCGAAGCCGACATCGTAGGATAGCACAGTGAAATGTACATCGTCGACCCATTTGTTTCTGTGTTGTTCTTCTTTGTTCTTCTGAGCTCCGGGGACGTAACGACGGGAGCTTGTTTTGACTTTCAGTGAATTCAAAATACCGGGGACACGGTCATCGGAATTTGTTATGATTCCCACAATGGTTTTATTCCAGGGCCAGATGGCCGAAGGCTTGTTTCTCTTCGAGTGGGCTCGCAGTACTCTGAAAAAAGTAAGAACGTCTGGGTACAGATTGTATCCTGAATTTGAGGAGAACGTGCGAAGAAGTTCCTCGGTAAGGGCAGGTGGGAAGGGTTGACCTGCGCTGAGAAAAGGCTTGAAAGTATCTTCTATGACGTTTGACCACCACGTCCTTGCACCCATGCCTGTGGCCTTTCCATAGTTTGGGTTCTCTTGAGAAGCTTTTTTGAAGGCGGAGCTGAAGGTTGAACCTACCACAGAGGGGGTTTTGGTGTCGCCTACGTTGATGCCGTGACGGGCTGCGGCTTGTGCGTAGGCTTCTGGGATGGTTTTATAAGGATGAAAGAGTGTGCCGAACGCGTCGAGACAAAGAAGTAGGTTCTTCTTTCCGGACATGCTGCAGACAGCGACGGAGATTACCTAGGTCTGTCGGGTGCGTGATGCGAACCGGCCACTCCAACGGCGATACCTTGTCGACCCCACAGCGTTCATCCGACAATACTGATAGATACACGGCAATGTCGAACCAAGATCGCATCGACGTGTAAGTGGACCCAAACTCCCTGATGGGATTGCGGAAGGAGATGATCCAAAGAGGCTAGTCAGGGTCCGAGCTACTTGCGGACACGATCACCTCCGCGAATCCTCAACCTCCAACGTCAACCCTCACCTGCAGTCGCTCTTTCACCCAATTCCGCAGACACAACAGCCGAACCAAATATGCCGAACACCAACAAGTACTCGGTGCTCCTTCCCACCTACAACGAGCGTCGCAACCTGCCCATAATAACATGGCTCCTGGCTAAGACGTTTGAGGAGAAGTACGTCGCAAGACAACTCTACCACACATGACGCCAATGCTAATTTCCTTCCAGCAAACTCGACTGGGAACTCATCATCGTCGACGACGGCTCCCCCGACGGTACCCAAGAAATCGCCGCCCAGCTCCAAAAGGTCTACACCCCCCAACGCATCCAAATCCGCGCCCGCGCTGGTAAACTCGGACTCGGAACCGCCTACGTCCACGGCCTGCAATACGCAACCGGCAACTTCGTCATCATCATGGACGCCGACTTCTCGCACCACCCCAAGTTCATTGCGCCCATGATTGCGCTGCAGAAGACTAAGAACTACGACATCGTCACTGGTACACGGTATGCGGGGGATGGTGGTGTATTTGGCTGGGATCTCAAGCGCAAGTTTGTGTCTAGGGGCGCCAACCTGTTTGCGGACACCGTGCTCAGGCCAGGCGTGAGTGACTTGACGGGTTCGTTCAGGTTGTACAAGAAGGAGGTGCTCCAGAAGGTTATTCGTAGCACCGAGAGCAAGGGATATACTTTCCAGATGGAGATGATGGTTAGGGCAAAGGCGATGGGATGCACGGTTGCCGAGGTGCCCATCTCGTTTGTGGACCGTCTTTATGGCGAGAGCAAGCTGGGTGGTGATGAGATTGTGGAGTATGCCAAGGGTGTGTTGGCACTGTGGATGAAGGTCTAAGAGAGTGGAAGAAGGGCTTGCATGGCGTTGGCGTCCGGTAGGGATGGATGGCCTTGACGATATCCTGGACTGGAAAAGAGTGGTATACTTGATCTTTCTCTTTTGTCTGAATAGTATGTTTAACTCATAATCTTCTCGTCACGATCCTTCTCTCAACTCTAGTTTCCCTGCAAAGATGATCATCGTAGGTTCTTCTACATTCAGTCAATCGCGAACACCTACCGATACGTCCCAAGGTTTCCCTTTCGACGACACTGCAAGATGCAACTTTGCTGCCGGTGTCACGGTCGATGTTTCTATATTTGCACAGATTCCTGTAACGCTCATAGGGGGTCGATCTCTATCGTATCATGCTTTGCGCCTTAGGAGGCTCAGAAAGTATTCAGATGTTCTCAGGCGACAATTCTGTAGTGACCCAATCCCAATGTACGGCAACTCAACGATTTCACACTGTGATGACCTAGTCAGGCAACTACCGATACCTTTCTGCTACGACAACGCTCACCACCCATCTGGCATGCCAAGCGACGCTAGTGCCGCCTACTCTTGCCTCGCACTCACTTCAACTCTGGCAATCACTTGATTACTACAATCGCGCGCAAAATAAGACCATGGAGTGTCTCGTTGCTGCGCCTACCGAGCCTGCCGCTACGATGGCAGCACAAAGCGGCCTCGAGCCGTTTCGCCTCATGGAGTATGTGTTTCTGTATGAACTATATTTGAGACAAACGCTGACCTCACATCAATATATAGCCTTCCCACAGAATTGCGCCTCATGATCTACAAGCGACTCCCTCGTCAGATCAAGCATACTGAGCTTCGATATGACGACGGCCTTGAGGTTGACTCGGTCATCCTGGTCACACGTCAACTTCCAACGGCTCTATTGCGTGCAAGCCGTGAAATATACGCTGAAGCGCACGATATTGTTGCCGCTCTGATTCGGACCTTTGTGAAAGAGTCGCAGCCAAGGGTCATCGAACATGACTCCTACGTGCAAATGCTTGATGTCCTCAGAGCTGTTTCGACAGAACGTGAAAGGCTTGCTGTAAGTTTTCGTAATCTTGGTACCTACATGTGGGATAAACAGCTAAGCCATTGCAGCCTGGTCGATCCTGTCTTATGATTAGAGTCAGTCAAAGACACCCAGAATTTGTCTACCACCCCGAGGAAACCGAACCACCTCGCGAGGTCACACAATTTATCTGTCAAGCTACATTAGCGACCAGCAACACTATCGCGATTATATCTTGCGTCGATTTCGACAGCACAGCAGATCACTGTCGTCTGGTTCGGGAAGCTGATAGGCGAAAGGACATTATAAACACAACGCTCCAGCGTTCGTATCGCCCAGATCCGTGTGCTCAAGTGGATGAGACCTGTATGGTTCTCCATGCACCTGATGGGGAGATTAAGCTGACGGCCACCAACACTCCCGCCAAACTTGACTGGAGGGAGCTCTATGAATCCAATTGCTTCAACGATGTCTCGACTACTCATATCAGCCAGGAAACTTGGGTCGAGGAATGGCTACCTTCTATGTAAAGGGTTTGGAGATCTTTGTTCATGCGGCCCCCAAATGTAACTACCGGACTCTGCGCCCATGTGGGAAGATTATGACCCGCTGCGAATCTCTCTAGGGTGCCATTAGTCTTCAGGCGGTCTTGTACTTCCAGCTCCTTTATACGATTAAAATGATTAGAGCACAACACCAAGGTAGAAGCCCAAAAATTACGAACTCTGCGTCTCAAACATTCTGATGCTTCGCATGCGAACTTCAATGTAATAAACTTACCATATGCCGCCATTCACTGTTGGTGAAGAAGCTGCTAACCAGTTTCGTCGCGCTCATCCAGCCGATCATCTCCGACCGTCAGACGCTTGGTATCCCTCACAAACCCTGCAAATACTCTTGTGTCTACCAGCCGCTCTTCAAGACATGGGCATCCGGTATTTCCGGCTGACGCGGGGATCATCATCACGGCATTACTGTCATCTCCACACGCTCCGATAGGTTAATGTTAAACTGAATATATACCAGACATTAAGTCTCTCCTCTCATCTCGCAATCATCTCCCAAGGAGCTATAAGTTTACATTCATTCCTATTTTTCCTCCAGGTTCGCGCAACTACGACCACCAACATCGTCGATATTCAATCAATTCTTCTTAGTAACAATAGCCGATAGCGATCACTTGGTCATCAGGAATTGCAATTCCAACGCCGATATGTCAACTGCCCAATCCGAGTCGTTCCCGTTTTTGAGACTTCCCACGGAGATACGTTTGCTCGTCTATGAACACCTACCACGTCAGGTCAAGCACACTGAAGTCTCTATAGACGGTTTTGTCGCCATCTTGGTCACACGGCACTTGCCCACAGCTATACTACGCACTAGCAAGCTGATTCGCGCAGAAGCCCGACCCATCATCCACAGGCTGATACAAGAGTTCATTGAAGAATCGCAAACGAAGATCATCGAATTCAGCAAGAGTGGTTCCAAGATGAGACATTGCAAGATACTGGAGTGCTTGAAGACGCAAATACCTAGAGAACGTAATGCAGTGGAAGGGCTTGAAGACTACGATATCCAAGCTATTCTTAGACGGATACCAGAGACAAGAGAGCTTCAGTCTACGGACCCAGCATTGTCGCCTAATATCGCTCGTTTCATGCATCAAGCCGCCAGGTCAAGGTATCGCTCTGCAGAGCTCACCCCTGCGTCTGCCGACAAGTCTTGGAACAACACGGTCGTGACGGTGCATGTTACTCATACCAATTTCAAAGACGACGATCAACTTTGGTTTGTTTGTGAGACCAATCACAGACATATTCGGCATATGTACCATCATGAAAAGATGGCCCTGCTTCCGAATCACATCTGGATCTTGGATGGCGGCGATGTACAATTGGCAGAAAGTGCCACTTTGGAATCGGCCACTGACACGGTTCCAATTTTATGGTCCGATGGCTACGACCGGTGGGGTAACAGAACGCGGGGTGTGGAGGCATCATGGGGACCGGCCATGAGTCAAGAGGACTGGGCCGCAAATTGGCTACCTTCGTAAGCCAGGCGTGAGAGGTATGTCGAAAACAGCACCTTGAGGGAACGTCCAATAGAGACCGAAAATGAATAAAATAAACTCGTTTTAGAAAACCTTAATGTGCAATTGTGCAGATCTCAAAATTCAGCACCGCGAGTTGAGTAATCACTACAACTTTCTGCAAGGGTTAACTCTCTCACAGGCGGGTCATCAAGCCCACTCATCAGCCTCGCAAATTGCGAGAACGTAAGGTTCGTGAAAACCATCCCAAAGTCGCTCTTCCGATTTCACTTTTCCATCCTGAACTCCTGACAACCCATGTTTTCTAACTCTCCCGTACACTAACGCCCTTCTTCATGAACAGCAGCTTGGTCTTTGTCGTCTCGGCGAATTTCCCCTCTTCTTCCAGCACCGGCAATGCATCATCCGAATGCATAAACGCAATGAATTGCTGCAAGTGCAACTCATCTTCAAAAGCCATCACACCCATACAATCCCAGTCCATACCGTCATCGTCGCCAATCAATACACGAGGAACTCCAACAGGACATTCCGATTCGTCGACATGGTAGTGCCTTGTCCAGGATAGCGGATGCACCTTCCCAGCAACCTTCTTGAGCAGTGGCGCATAAATTTCTTCGTTATGGCGGTGAAATTCCTCGCGTGAGACGCCTTCCTTTCTCGTAGCGACTGTGGTGAGGATGTATGGGTATGTACTTGTCTTCGTCAACATCGTATGCGGCATGATTGCGGTGTTGTTTGGTGTTTTATGTGTATACGGTGTTTTGTCGGCGGTATGATGATATGCGGCCGATGTTTAGCATGTACTGGTTCAAAAGAATGGAAGGAATTGGAGTGACAAAGTCTCCGAGGAACAGACGAGATGGGTATATAGAAGAAGATTTCAACTAAATTGAACGAAATTTCAGGCAAGAAAACAGGAGACGGCTATCTTCCATATGGAGAGTGCTTACCCGCGTGCCGGTGTCATCTAGTCAGACCATCCCTGCCTTTTATCGGTCCCACTTGCCGCTCGGTTGCCACGAGGCTGATCATGCAGACCGTGCGCTAAAAGTTCATGCCTGAGTCAACTACCGATGAAGCGAAGTACTGGACCTTTCCCAAACCTCATACCTACTGCCTTTTTCGTGCACGTGCGACTCAGCTACTCACGTTAGTACCATTGCATTGCTTGAGTTCGTCATCTCGTTTGCACTGGCGAGCCGCTACGAGCGTCATTTGCTCAACCGTCGTACTGTCAGGCCTCCAGACGTCGCCCGATTTTAGTTCCCGATGGCTGTTTCGAGCTTCTGCGGTCATTGCCGCTGCGCAACACGACAGCATACGGCATTTTTCGGAAGCGCACATGTCGAGTCAGCGTATTTTTCTGACACAGCCAGCTTGATCGTCATAGCCCCGATCCCCGGAAGGCATGGTCGGGAATAGCAGACTTTGAGCACATTTTCGATTCAACATCTGTTAGCGTCGTCTCGGCTACACCATTAGTTGCACAAAACCTGCACCACTGAGGGCAACGCGTGCCGACATGTCTTTATATCGCTATCCTCTCCGTTCAGCATGCGACTCTCTACCAGCCACGGGACCAGCACCACCACGCCTTAGCAATCTTGGCAACATGCATTGCCTTTAGATCATATTCTGCTTGCAGATTGCTGGTTTACTACAAGACTCATTGAACTAACTATTACCCTGAAGAAACCAGTGGTTTCCTCCCGTCCGCCGGTGCATCGGCACGAACCGGCACTACTCCACTCCACAGTCCGGATGCTGAGCTCGTGACCGGCAGGTACGAATGAAGTCGGATCATGCAGATGAGGATTTCGAAAGCTCAGGCGCATGAGCATCTTCTGATTGAGGACCACCATGTTGATCTTCGAGGTATATCGTGGTGATAACATGCCATAATAATGTCTATGTTGTGGATCTTGACCGCAACGTGCATGACATCACTCTCTAGACACATAACAAGGAGTCCGAGCGCATGAGCTCCGCTGGTAGGGGGTCAGACCAGTACCCATCGGTTCTGTACCACCCCAGCGATAACTGAAACCACCATTGTATGTGTCTCGATGATTTCGGTGTACTCATCAATCAATGCTGCCTCATCCTGAGCGCCTGTCCCGCTTGGAGATGGTCAGAGAACGAATGCTGGTACGTGGTGACAGCGATCGTACTCGCAACCTGTTCCATCTTAACTAACGAGCGAGGCCAGCTGGCGTCTTATACTGATCCCAGCAGCACCAGTGATCTCCAGAAAAGTCACTGCTACGCCGGGTGTTATGATTATATCAGTAACACGATGTACGTTATCTGACTAGAGAATTCAAGGAGTTGCCTTCGACACCCACAATTAGCTACCTGAGCTCCGCCGTCGCTCAGATACACGATAAGTATGACGGAGGACGTGCTCAATCGCATGATGATTGCAGAGAGCTCTAGTTCATGTTCGTAGAGAAGTGTCTTGCTAGCTCGCACAGCCCATGCATACTACTAAGCCAGGTCAGACAGTGGGTGAGTGTGAGATGGGGCTTCAAGCGAGCCAATTTCGCCAACATAAGGCAGCAGTCGCGGCCATTTTCTGGTTTGAAAGTGTCTACAGTCCATTAAACTATGTGTTGATTCTTGGCATGGTCCGCTCTCCAGCTTTGCGAACGAAGGAAGACCAAAGCAATCACAATTAATCACTTGCGTACTGCCTATCACCTACACGAGTCTTGTAACATACTCCTGACATCTCAAAGTTAGTCATCATGGGATAGCTGTATACCATGATATATCACTGCTTTTGGGTAGTCATATGATGTAAACTTCCGTATAATTGCTAACCCCATGCAGCGCTTGACCGCAGTCGTTGTGATGATAGGTAGCTAGCTAGAAAGGTGATGTGTGATCGTGAGCCACAAGAGAGATACATCAAGAACGACAACCAGAGTTCTGGGTTAAACAAATCTGCAATCCGTTCCACCTTCACGCACGGGTTCTGGTATTGCTTGTTTACCTCCCAGATTGGTGGGCACAATCAATCTTGCGCTACATGAGCCTCGTCATCCGGAAGTCTCATCCTCTCTACAGCTTCCTCAAACTCTTTCAGCTCCCTAAGCTTCATTTTGCATACCCTTTTTTTGTCTTCCATCTCCCGATTCAGCACTTCGACCGTCTCGCTGAGACCAGTGATGGCCTGGAGTAGCGCCAACGTAGTTTCCAGCGTGTCGATATGAGTACCAATTGCTGTCATGGATTCATCGATGGCTGCGTAGACGAGATCGCGTGTGGTGAGAGTCGCAGGATCGACGATCGGCAGGGAGGCAGGCGCGTTTATGTCGAGGACAGTGGTGATGGATAGGAGATCAGATTCCGTGCTTCCTGCGCTTGAGACTACGGGAGACGGTGTGGTCGCAGAAGGAACGGAGTCTTCTTCGGTGATCCGAGGCAGGACATGAATGGCAGGGACCTTGGAAGTTTGTGGAGGTGATAGTGTTTGTGAGAGATTTCCGGATGTGATCGCCTCTGGTTTTTCAGCTTTGTTGACTAACGGCGATTGCTCATGGGATTTTGATCTCGCGTGTGGACCATGCTTGAAGAGGTGTCGAAGTAGGTTACCGCGCGGCATCGTGTCTGCGCCAACCAGATCGAACTGCGGAAACTCGATCGGACTGGTTGTAGAGCGGGCGTGGTTAAGAGCGCAGTGTCGGTGTGAGAGCGCTCAAATGATGCGGTATCGGCCTTGCGGTACCTAGAATATTCTTCTTCACCTTCATTACCAAGGCCTCTATATTCACCCACACGCTGTAAAACCCCACACGCCGAGCCAGTCCTTCTATTTGAGCTGCGTATGCACAGGATCTGTTTATGTTCGAATTGCTCACCAGTCCCTCAATGTCATTATATGGTTTCAAATAACACTCATAACAATCCGCGTGATCCTCGGCTCAGCTATTTCTATACCAATATCAAGACGAGTGGTTCCGTTTCCAGTGTATCAACGTTAAAAAGTGATACAGTACCAATGGATGATCGTTTGCTGTGAGCAAATCCGGCCAAGCACTTATACGTTTCTTACTGACATACCACAGCGATATCATTTCTTCCACCGGTGATTTGCCATTCATTGCAGACCAAGAAGCCGATAACGTAAGGCTCCAGCGAGAAAAGGAAGAAGCTAAAGTGGTCGCGAAAGAGCTGCATGGTGGCCTTGACCGAACGACCCAGTCTTTGAACAACCTGATGGCCTCCTATGCCAATCCTCTGCGAGAGAACAACACGATATCAAGCGACAACGTGGCCATCGAACAGCGACACACCAAGATGAGGGCAGAAGCCGCCACCTACACGTGTGAGATCCGCACTATGACCACCAAGATACGAGAGATGGAGGAACAGAGTCAAGCATATAAGATCGAGAACACGAAGCTTCGGAACCACCTCACGAAATTAGGGACTGAGTTGGAATTTCTTCGACTTCGAGTAAGAGCCCTTGAGTCGGGACAAGTGCAAGGACGGATCCCAGACAATGCTGTTCGAGCTTGATGCAACGATGATAAGTAATACGGCCAAAAGTGAACCTCTAGCGCTAGCTAGCAACCTAACTCGGTCGAGTTGAGATGCGTCACCTCGAGTGATCGAGATCTTGTTTCCATCATATAGCATCGAACATCGTTTACGGTTTTACTTGCCAAAGTTTTCGCCGTTGCGGCTTGCATGCATTTGACCATTTCGTAACCCTCCCACAAGGGCATGGTGAATCAGGAGTCAGTTTAACTCCGGTGCTGTGAGTCGCGACGTCTCAAGTCGACTGCAGCAGGTGACAGGATCGGTCTCTTCTCAACGCGAACTCCGCGCAAATAGCATGATGTTGGCACCTCCGCACTTCAGCCTACATCAATTAAGCTTCTCATTGGACATTGATTCATAGTTGCCGACGTGTCAGCCCCGTCGGAACTCTGGTCGTGCTAACGAGAACGTTCAAGGGACCCGCGGCCACCGCCCCGTCGGCAATAGGTCGCCTGCGTACGACGACTCTCCACAACACAAGGTAATCAGACTTAGGAGTTTCAACGTTGATCTCTCTGGAATGACAGTAGCTACTGTATAATATAAGAGAGATCCATGAACATGGCTCGAAGTTTGCACTTATCTGCCATATCATCTGGTCCGTGATGTTTCGCGCAACCATCATTCCTCGTCTCCAGGAAAGCTTGGCAAGCTCTGCCTCAGGCGACTGCTCCTTTCTTGAGCTAACGATTTTCATCGTCTCCCTCGCAATCACTTTGGGATCGTTTCGAGCAGTTTATCTGGTCTACTTCCATCCATTGGCATCTTTTCCTGGACCCTACAAAGCGATTTTCTCAAGTTGGTGGCAATACCCGTTGAGCAAGCATGGGAAAATTGAAGAAGTTCTCGAGCACCTTCATCGGACATACGGTATGCTCTAGAATGGTTTCCCCGAACAGAACATTGACGATAAGATAGACACGAGCGTACTACGCATTGGTCCAAACGAGCTACACATCACCGATCCCACACTTTACCACACCATCTACTCGCAACGCTATACGTTCCCCAAACAAAGGTCTTTCTATGATGCTTTCAACACGCCCCATTCCGTCTTTGTAGAGCATGACGGAGAACTGCACCGTGCGCGACGGAAGCTACTCAGCAACTTTTTCTCGAAGTCATCTGTACGAGCCATGAACAAGATCTTGCTCGCCAAGGTCACCATTATGT